ATCCCTGATCTCCCTTCCTTCCGCCGCGCCCTTAAGACTTGGCTATTCCAACTTGCAGGACTGGCCTAGGGGAAAATTTTAATGGGGTTTAAAGCAATTTTTAAATTAACTTGACCAAATTACTAATATTTGTTTTTACTTATGTTTTTAAATTTGTAGTTTTTGGGGATTAGTGTTTTATCTGGTTGTTAGCCGCCCTAAGTCCGTAAGGAGAAGGGCGGGATATAAATTAAATAAATAAATAAATAAATAAATAAATAAATAAATAAATAAGTAAAGAGTGATAAAGCTGAATGTCTAAGCTGTCCAATAGCACTTTAAAAAAAAAAAACATTCCTGAACTAGACTGGAATGAGCCCCATGTGAGCTCTGGGGATAAGTAGATCTCCAGCAGCAGATTTTCCATACGGGGGGGGGGGACATCCTTTATCTTTGTCATCTTACCGTGTATCTTTTGAGCAGTTTACCACTTTGACTTGGAACATGCTCTGTATTGCATAGGCAACGATCCTGCATGATCTCTGCAAATAAGGAGTGAATTTATTCAGAGGGTGCAGTGTCATAGATCATTCTACAATTACTCTTTCATATGTAAGTGACCACATTGAAAATATAGTAATGATAATCAGAGGTGGAGATGAGAGTGGGGAAAGATTATATGAAGCCCGGAGAGTGCAATTTTAGGCAGATTTAATTTGTAGCATCTCTCTCAGAAAAAAAAATCTAGTCATTATCTAAGCAGAACTATCTTATGGAACTCTGTCATTTTTTTTACTTTATCTATTGTTGCATGGTGATGATGTTACGGGGTTTCCTTGCACATCTGTTGTAAGGTCAGCGCAAACTATTAGAACATATCTATCAGAACCAGTTTGGTGTAGTGGTTAAGGTATAGAAACCAAGAAATTATGATTTCTAGTCTTGCCTTAGGCATGAAGAGAGCTGGTGACCTTGGGCTAGTCACTTCCTCTCAGTCTTAGCAAGGAGACAAGCCACTTTCAAAAATGTTGCCAAGAAAACTGCATGGACTTGTCCAGGCAGTTGCCAAGAATGAAGACTGACTTGAAGGCACAACAACAAATCAGTCCATAGTGGACCAGCATCATCTTTCAATATCCAAGAAATAAAGTTCTCTTTTTGAAAATGATGTGTGATGTACTTGGTAAAGCTGTTCACATGGCATGCTTATCTATAGTTTTATCAAATTAACTAAATTTCCTGGTCTTGTACAGCATACTATATTCCATTACATGACCTCATACTGGATTCACTAAACATAAGTTAAAATGTGGTCCTCTAATGTATGGATTATTGCTGTATTGTGTGAACTCAACCAAATATTAGTTATGTTTAGCTAACTGATCTCAGTAAACTGAATCTTTTCACTTCGCTGATGGGAAATAGGTTTATTAAGTCAATCTCATAATTTTGAATTAAAATACTAATTTTTGTGTTACTAATGTAAAATATATAAGGTATAGCTAAAATTGTAATTCCAGTTGTTTTGAAATACGACTTCTATAATCCCTGTGTACTTGTCTGGGGTTTCTGGGAATGCTAGTCCAGATCATCTGGAGAACAATATTTGAGAGTTTATTTTGTAATGGTTAACTGGAGAAGAGAGGTACAACAAGGTACCTCTTTAAGAAGTTTTAAATTACAATTCTAACACATTTTGCTGTTGGCACTGCTGATTGTAGCAGAAGGAGCTAGAATCCACAACATCCAGAAGCACTATATTATTTAAACCAGATGTACAGGTATCTTGCTGTGGTATTTGAGTTAATCAAATTCTTCCTTTCCTACAGTGCATCAGTGTTCAGGCTTAGAAGTGTCACTACATACCTAATAATTCTTGTTGGTTTAAATCTCAGAGTGACTGCTTCATAACATAGGAAAACCATGTAATATGGCCCCTTGTTTTAGAAAAGGCTGCTGACTAACCTGCTGCCTTTGAAAATTTTATGCAGAAGCCTCCAGTAAAAGTGGCTGAGAAGATTTACTAACAATTCACAGTCTCTTTGGAAGTTAAAGTAGCTTTTATGTACGGAATGCATTTGCTATGATCTTGAAGAACTATCAAAATAACAATTTTGAATAGTGTCTTATAACTTAGAGAAGTAACTCTTAGAAGGCAATTCACACACTTCAAAAGCAATTATTTTCTATACTGTGCCATACAAATAAAAAGTACAAATATTAACCAACTAGCTTTCTGATTTTTAGCTTACCATCAACTTCTTACCATGTTCTAAAAATTATCATTTTGTTTTTCCACTAGTACTGAAAATGTATTTACTGGTGGAACAGATTCTATAGCAATTTGATTTGTTCTTTAGCATTACCCCAGTATTTGCTAGATTTTTGGACAATGCTCATTAGCTTTTGTAACTATTACTCTACAATTCAGCTCATTTCTTTTATTAAGGTCAATTCCTAAAAAGATAGGCGCTAAGACTATCCTTTGTGAAACTTTCTTAGAATGTGGATTAATAATTATAGGTAATCAGACATAAATTGTCAAAACTAGCATATTGTGCTGAATTTTTTTTTTTATCCTGTAGCTTGTTCAGTCCCATCAGGATGCTATAGTGCATAGTTGGATAACTATATTTTGAATGTCACCATCACAAGTTGTCAACATTCTAAAACTACCTCCAGCCCAAAAAAATTGCCTATCCTTTATTGTACACTGAAAATCTATTCCAGCCTTCCACATTCTCCAGATGGACTGGGACCGAACCCATATCATCCCAAACAAGCACACCATCAATTATCCTAGCTGTGGATGATGGATGTTATTATCTATTATACCTGCAAGTCCATGGCAGTTCAAAAAAATATTCTTTAAATTCCTTGGGTATTATTTTCTTAGGGAAAAAGTAAGCATTTTCTTTTGTATTTATCTCCAAAACAATCCCCTTCTATGACATATTTTAAACCCTTTACCTTTTTGTGGCAAATTCTGAGATGTCATGTTGGAGCACAAAAAGACAGTGGAATTTTGGGTGCTCTCCTTTGAAACTTGTTGCTGACTTTCTTCTGAGATTCTGCTCTCCTATGTTCACCCCCCAAAAAACCCCACATGCATGAGAATTGAGAAATTGCATTTCTTAGCAAATGTCTGTTCAACTTCAGATAATGAAATCTAACAGTAGCTTTCCTGGTGCTCAGGATGGAATTGCCCACAGGGAGTTGCTAGTCAAAAATATTAGAATGGCAATTTTGATTGCTATTTGTAGTTGCTATCTTAAAACTTTTTGGCCTCTTTGTTCCCAATAATGCCCATGTCTGCCAGGCTTAATGCCCTATCTGATTCCTTTAATTTAAAAATGAAAATCTGGAATGATGTAAATAAAACATCTCACAGAAAATGGGGCAGTGGGGAGCATTGTGGAGAGAGTGGAGAGATAGACAATATAGTTAGCAACCTCATCAATTGGCTTCCTATTTTAAGTTGGCTATGAGATCTATTTATGAAGATACAATCAATTCTGCAGATTAATGATGCTACTCAAAACATGCTCAGATTCAAATATAGGTAATCATTTTTAAAAAGTTGCCCACTTTTGATAGGGTTGCTTGATATTGAAATGGTACACCCCTCCTAGCCTGCCTTTTGGCCCCCTCCATCCTTTCCATATCTTGGAAGCCTCCTGTTCTCAATTCCTCACCTCTGTTGTTCTGCTGCTGGTTAGTTCTATTTATATTTTTCTTTTTTCGTTTATTTTTTCATAGATGGTTTTAATTTAAAAAAAACAGACAAATGAATTTTTTCTTGCTACTTTTTCTGAAACTGTTTTCAGTTTTCTGCATCCCATGTATTTCATTATTCCTTTCTGTGGGCATTTGTTTACCATATGGTTTCTGATTATGTTATTTCTCCTCTTTAGTGCATGGCACCTGACTTTTCTTTAAGCACCTCTGCCTTCCAGTAAAACATCTGGTGCTTTCCCAGCCTACATCCAAAAATTCCAGGCCAAAAACAAAAAAAACAGATTTGCCAGATCTGCTATCAGCAAAGCATATGTATTTTGCTTTGGACAGAGAAGGCTTGTCACATCCCTAGAAACAAGACAAGTCACTAAACACCTGGCATGGCTGGGCCTTTCCAGACCAAAGTGACCAGGGACAAATACTAGTGTAAGTCAGAAGACAGGTTGACCCAAGTCTTTCCCTACTTACACCTAACCAAGATGCAAATGTATCCGGGCAACATCTTTTTTCTGCCATATTCCCAAGATGTTGGATGTTGTCTTAGTTTTATCCATTGCCTCAGTCATCTGTACAATTACTAAAGTATTTCTTTCTTATTCTGACTAGGGTAATGTTAAGGTATATAAAATTGGTCAGGCTTTCTCACTCATAGTAATGACAGTGACAGTAAACAAAGCAATAGAGGCAGAAGGAATCTGTAGGAGGTTACAAATGTCAAGCTAAACATTTGTAGAAGTTAGACAACACCAACTCAGCACAATACTCTGGGACTGGGGGAAGGGCTAGTGAGCAAGTCTCATCACTAAAAACAGTTTATGCAGATATTCTGTCTTTTTTAAATAAGCATATTTTATGGCAGCATAGATGATAGGAAAAGATAGGGAAGCTGTTCTTTTTTGGATGTCTTGAAGTCAGAGGATTACAAAATGCAATAAAAGCCTGGAGCAGATGTACCCAAGACAGAGCAATTTCTATGGAGGTGCTCTGCTTAGATTTGTTGTGCTTTAAAGGAATGTATTACGATGCATCACCTATCTTAGCACCTTCCAGAACTTATTCTACAAATTTCAGATGTTTGAAGATCACTATGTTTAAAAACAGGTATGATCTCCAATGACCAGGTTATTTGGCTCCTCCATTTTACTCGCGTCCACCTACCCCTCTTGGCCACCCCCGCCACCTCACCCCGGCAGTAACTGCCCCTTTATCTGCGCAGGACTTTCTCCCACTCCGACCACCTGCATTAGCCGCAGCCGGTGCTCCATTATTATCTGCCTGCGGCGCGCTTCCCAGTGGTAGGCAGCCATTCTGCAGCCTGCTATTCTGAGGCTTAGCGAGAAGAAACCAGTCTTGGTTGCAGTGACGAGGCCCGGCGAGTGAAGACTCACAATGCTGTGATGCTGGGCAACTCAGGAGACGCCAGCCACTCCTTCCTGCACGTAGCACAATTGACCACCAGAGAGCAGCGAAAACCAAGAACTCTGGTTTTTCTTGTACTTTAAAGCGAGGAGGGAGAGGGAGAGAAGGAAGCATTAGGAAAATAATGGAAATCTTAAAAATCCCGATTAAATTCGGTAAGGAAACTCCTTTTCCGAAGGTTTAGCTTTGTATACTCTGGAATTAACAAGAGTGCGCACAGGGTGGCGTTACTGCCAGTTCAAAGCATGGGTCTAGTAAGGATCTTTACATTTTCGTCTCACTTTTCTGGGGAAAGTAGTGATTACGGTTGCTCAGGAAAATAAAGTAGTATTCTAAGCACATGCTTTTGGACATTAGAATGGATCACGATTCCTCGTCAGCCTGGTCGGTTGAAGGAGGCTTGTGAGCCTGTCCTCAAATAGCGGCGAGAGTTATGGAAGTCTTGAGTGCCTCCGATGACAATTCGTTGCGAAGTAGAAAAGTGCAGACTTAAGTTTATGAACTTTTTCGTAGAAAAACAGAGCTCTGTTGACTTTTCTAGTGTAGCATTTATACGGACCCAAATCATTAGGCTGTAAACCGTGGTTTACGGCTAAATGTTTGCGAACACAGGCAGGCGGCCTGTGATTTGGAATTCCTTTGAATAGCTGGTCCCCAACTTTCTGATTCGGGAGAGCGATTTCCCAGGGAGGAAGCCTCTTGCCTGTGCTCTGGAGCGTTGTCTCCACCTTGATTTCATGTCTTTTACAAGCGAGTAGGGCTCGGGAGCTCAGCGTGCCCCAGAACGATTTTTCACGTTGAAGTGTAAAACGGGCAGTAAATGTCCTATGTGATAAACTATGCGACTGACGGAAAAAAATAAATTTTGCACACCTTCCCGGGGACACGCTGAGTCTTCATTTTGCTCTTTCACATAACCCCGGGTTAAGGTACAGAATTGGGAACTAAAAGTAAATCATACCACAAGGATGCCCTCCGCCCTCGCTTCCCTTTCAAACAAGTCCCGGACCGAGCGCAGTAGGAGCGGGAACTCTCGCGAGTCTTTGGTTGGCTCTCTCCTGCTCCCGCCTCCACCAAGGTTCCGCCTCTTTGCAGCCATCCACGCTCCAGACAGGCATTGACTGATGCCGAAGAAACCCCGCCTTCCTTTCCGCGATCGCAGGTGCTCCTTTGGTAGTTGGCGGTTGTGCGCGTGAAGAGTTTCTGCGGCGCCGGCTGGATGTTTGCGGACTGCAGATGTTCAGTTATCAGCTTGAGTCCCCGATGGAGGTAAAGTTCCGGCTAGTTTTCATTAGGCAGATCTGAGTTTGGTCCGGATCTCGGCGCCTATTTTCTGTACTAAATTTATTTCATGTTAGAAATCGAAAGAGTACTGTAAATGAAAAAAACATCGAATATACGAGGAGTTATTTCCTTCTCTCCGGGGAGTGATTACAGTGCACACTTCCCCTCGCTCGGTGATTGGCACCTAAATCCAGGGTGATGCTTCTAAGCGGACTTAATTCTTTTCCACTGTTCAGATTCTCTAAAAGAAATGGGCAACTCAGAGATAAAAGATTTGGATCGCTTGCGCGGTCTCGTCGCCTACCTGCGGATTTAGAAGGCGCTCCGCGAGATTTGCGGTCACATCACTTTAAAGTAGTTTATAACTGAAGCAACAAACCGACCTCCTCTGTTTGAATTGTAGGAAGAAAGCAAAAAAAAAACCCAAAAAGCTTCAGGGAAAATTGGAGTAAATTTGTTTGCAAGTTCCTTCTCTGATGCATTTGTGGACTGAATGTTTGCCGGTCCACGTTTTTAAATTAGTCTTAATTTTTAAGTCTACTGCAGTCGCTTGCATTTGATAGGGCCTTCTAGCCTGCTCTTGGGTGCAGACCTTGCTCTTTCTTTGTATACTTAGTGGGGGAGCCCAAAGGTCTAGATTTCAGCTGAGAGGCATTGAACATACCTATCTAAATCTGATTATAATGTCCAAATCTGACTGGGTTTAGTAAAGAAGGGAAAAATTACTCTTCTGATTGTATACAAATATCCTTTCCTCCTATATGTAAGGGTCCCTGCTTTCTCTTAAGAGCAATAATGCAGTTGCTGTCATAGTAGAAAACATGATACAGCTTTGTTTTATAGTAATTTTTGTCTCTGTATTCAATAGCAGTTTGAAGACTGACTGGAAATTATTCTTGACAAAAATTGTTTCCTGTTTTCAGGGAATCATTATTATTAGTAGGTTATGAGTTGTCCATAATTGGGGGGGGGGATATTACTTAATTCTGGCTGATCATTATCTAGCCTTTATGTAAATTGGGAGAGATGGTTTGTTTGTTTGTTCTTTAGAATAATAAATAAAGCAAAAATACTTCCTGGCAGGGCTTTTTTTCTCATAGAACGCCCAGAACGGAGTTCCGGCACCTTTTTTGGATGGAACCTTGTAGGGTAGACAAGGTGGGTTGTATGACATGTGTGAGTTCTGGCACCTTTATTTTTTTTAGAAAAAAAAGCACTGCTTCCTGGTATCCTAATTACATTTTACTACATACACTAAAGCCTATTAAATTCATGAAATTTTATATAGTAATAATATTTTTCATAAGTCCCAGTCCATTTAATCAGAATGAATTTAACCTGCATTTGTTAGAATTTAAGGTGCAAGAACATATTTTTTGTGAAAAAATGGTATGTATATATTTTGAATAAATGGGAAAAAATCTTATAATACAAAAAATAAAGATTACTTATGTTAGTCATAGACATTCTAAATTTTGTTTTAGGCTAATAATTTATTAGCCTAAAATTTATTCCAGCTGATCAGCGCTTATTCTGGGCTCAGCAGAAGTGCCAGGATCAGCGCTGAGCTCCAGCTGGAGCCTGGCGTTGATCCTGGCACTTCCGCTGAGCCCTGACAGTCCCGAAGAAGCGCCAATCCTGGCGCTTCCGCTGAGCCCTGACAACCCTGCAGCTCCAGCCATCTCTCGCTCAGGCTTGTGCGATGTTGCCACCGGTTCAGCTCATTCCCCTCCCCCGCTACCACTTTTCTAGGATGGGCGTGTACCATCTGCCAGGTGCCAATGTATCACAGGTGGTACCCGTACCACTAGTTGAAAAGCCGTGGTCTAGACCAGGAATTTTCAACAGAATCTGTAGAATCACAGCTTTTTCTTTTTGTTGCAAAGGAGTGCCTCAATAGCTATTTTGTATGTGTCTTCCTTTTTTTATATGTCAGGACAATGTAAACTTTGACTTATGGTATTTGAGATTTCTGTTAATTTAGATTTATTTTGGATATCTCAAGAATATCTTCATATATGATATAGGTCCCAAAGAAAAACTACATCAGCTTTGTACTTAATATCCAAAAGATGAACCTGCATCTGTGGCAAAAAGCTAGAATATGAAGATGAAGAGTACATCTTTAGGTACAATCCAATATAAATACTGTATGCTTTCATGGGTTTAAATTAAGTATTAACTCTAACTTTTCTTGTTGTCATAATTTCTTAGCTGCTGTGAGCAGTGATCATCTCTTGGTGCTTTTCAAGATTTGGTGTCAATTCAATGACTATGGGGAATCAGTTGGCACCTTTGCCTCCTTTCCTGCCTCACTTGCAGACTCTGCATGTGGTCGTGGTTGGATTAGATACAGCTGGCAAAACATCTCTACTTTACCGTCTGAAGTTTCAGGAGTTTATCAAGAGTGCACCTACCAAGGGCTTCAACATGGAGAAGATCCGGGTGCCACTGGGAGGCTCTCGCATCATCACTTTCCAAGTATGGGATGTGGGTGGCCAGGAAAAGCTGCGTCCTCTCTGGAAATCCTACATGCGCCGAACAGATGGAGTTGTTTTTGTGGTAGACTCAGCAGAGATTGAACGTTTGGAAGAGGCTCGAGTTGAGTTGCACAGAATTGCCCACTCCTCAGACAACCAGGGAATCCCTGTGCTTGTGCTGGCCAACAAACAGGATGTGGCCCATGCACTCTCTGTACCTGAGGTAGAGAAACACCTTGGCTTACATGAACTATACACTTCAACGTTGAGCCACATCCATGGTTGCAGTGCCATCAATGGACTAGGCCTCCAGCCAGCTCTGGAAAAACTGTATGAAATGATTCTCAAACGCAAAAAACTCCTTCGCAATAGTAAGAAGAAGCGCTGAGAAATGTTTCCACCTGGACAAAAGTTAGTATTCATTCTAAGCATGATTCATGGCAACTAATGGACCAACAAGTCTTCAGTTTCTTCCTTGGTGGTTTTTAATTATTAGATTAATGGGTTGAATATCTACACATTTACCATGTCCACTTTCCTGTTACCCTAAAGAGAATGAGCATCTGTCCAGACTGGAGAGGGAGAAACTTTTTTCAAAGTAGTGGGTTGTGCTGTATGAGTTCAACAATCCCTTCATACTTAAGTTTACTTTTAAAAAATATCTTCTTGGGCTCTTTTCAAAGAGTCTTGTTTTTTACAGAAAACAACACTTAAATTATTAAACAGATTGTTTTGCAGACTTGGGCAAGGCATTCTTGTCATCTTCAATATATTAGTCAGGCAACTGGAGTATGGAGGAGCCTACCAGCTTCTTTAGGAAAAAACAAGCATCAGATGGTATTTCCTGGAAAGACCAGCAGCATTTCACATTCAGCAAAGCCCTGCTGGACCTCAAGGCACTATGGATATCATCACCTACTGTTCTCAGCAGTTGCAGATTACATGAACAAGAAGAATGAGAAAAAGGCAGTTGCAGCTGTTTTCTATTTTCTTGAATCCTTCACTGTTCTAATGAGGGCACTCTTTACTTGTTGTTTTTTTTTTAAAAAAAAGAAACGGCCAACTCTCCAATCTCCTTAAGAGCAGAGTATGCCTTATTCCCAGATAGGCTAAAGCTTTGGCATAGTTCATTTTAGAAATAAAGTATTGGCTACAGCTTTGCTTGAGAGAATGAATTGGCTTTGAATGCTATATTTGGAAAGAAAAGTAAAGGGACAGAATGGTTCATGAAGTGAGAGGATATGAGTGGCTGTAAAATTACAGATATTTCTTTTCTGATAATACTTCCCACTTCTAAGCACAACTACCAGAGGTCTAGATTCGGTGCTTGGCTTATGCTTTGACAAGAGTTTGAATTGAGGCAGAACTTCCAAATGAACTTTTCAAGGACTAGGTTCCTCTTACACAGTAAAGAGTAATTTAAAAAAGCAAAGATTGTTACAGGAATAAAATGCAACTGCATGTGATTAATACATTGTTTTCAGTGTGATTTTATGCTGTTGAGTTTTTTTTTAAAAAAAAATTCCTTTATCTTTCAATTTTTTTTGTTTTGGTAGATAAAATTGAATGTAAATATAATGCTTTTCTAAGCACATGATCACTCCAGCCAGACAACTCAAAGGGAGCAAGGTTTTTAGGTAAAATTGTGCTCCCAGTAGTTCTAGCTTCCATCAGCAGATCAAGTAAAATTTTACATGATCAGTTTTGAGACCAAAAGAAATGTACCATCTACTAGAGTTGTTTTGCTGATGGATGCAGTTACATTTGTGCTTATACTTTTAAATTGAGCCTATCTTGTACATTTTTGCAGCCCACCATGGAAGTTTAATCACTGGCTCCAGTTCTCCCCTTCTTGCTGGATTGTAATTTGGCTTCAGCTGAAATTATTGCCTAGTTTATAGCAGGTTTTTCTAAGTTGATATTCTCCCAAATATGTTGGATAACACCCTTCTAGCCTGGAAATTATACATTTTTTAGCCTTAACATATCAAAGATGGCATTAACTTGGAAATGGTTAGTGAGTGGGAGAAATCTTTCAGTAAATATCTTTTTCAAATACTCCTGCTGGAATGAAACCCACAAGGGCTTATGAATGTATATTTTAAAATACTTAATTCTCCTGGTCCAAAATTATGTATACATTTTCATTTTCCATTTGCTTCTAAAGGCTTCATTTGTGAGCCTGAGAATAGAACAGCGCAGGAAAAGACTTCTCTTTCCAAAGAATTTCAAAATGCTAGAAGTGACCTGTTGAGATGATGGACTTCCAAAATGAGATGCCCTTGAGTCCACAGTGGTATGCTCCTAAATTGAAATTTTAAAAAACTTTAAGAAGGTTATTGGTACATTCACTAATTTTAGTAATTTGACCTTCAGTTCTGTAAGAAAAAGTAATGGTGATTTATACAATGGTGAAGTGAGAGCTACTTGGTTTTCTCTTTTGATATGTGTATTCCTTTTTCCTTACTGGAGGACTGCAATGTAGCATTATTAAAACAGGTTCTAAAGTCTAAGAAAGCTCCATCTCAAATGAAGCCCTTTGTGTTAGTGATTCCCTGACTTTTCCAAATGAGCATCCTGAAACCATTTTGGGCTACAGCTTGCATCTCTCAACCACTGAGCTGATGTCATGTACAAAGATGGGAGTGATAATACAGTACCTCACTTCTGGAGGGTATGATTCAAGAAACTGTGTTACACCTGTCTTTCTGATACTGCACTACACTAATAGTTAAGTGGTTTTGGGTTTGTAATTTAAGGACGGCCCAGAGCAATTCTTCTGTTCACAGTTCTGTCTGACTTTTAAACAAAAGAAATTTTTGTGCAGATTTTGCCTAGAGAGCATATTCTATGGAAATGAGAGGTAATTTATGAAGAATAATGCTTCAGGCGGGGGGGGGGGGGAGAGACTGTATCTAGCATTGGACAGTATACTTTTAAAAAGAATTCTCAAATTTTCAAAATTGAGTCCCTGAAAGATCTACTGTCAAATAATCAAGAGCTTGGTTCTGAACTTGGTAACATCTTCCCACAGCGTAAGTGCTTTTTTCTTGGGGCAAATGTAGGAGAGAAAGTATATTTCAGATGATTGCCCAACTGTGTGTTGTTTTGCAATGCTCAAATGAGGGGGGTGGGATGGGAAGCAGTAGCTGGGTCATAAAAGAATTGAGGGCAATGAGTTTAACTCTGCCCCAGAACACTTATATAAGGGCTTTCCAAATCCAGCCTGATGTGGCACCACTCCCAGGATTAGTCCTGTTGAATCATGATCCTCCTGTGCAGATGTTCAATCTCTGGCATGCAATCAGTTCGATGCCAAAGTGTTGCCTTTACATGCTTTGTAGGGAGACAGACACATCTTGGAAAACAGCTTTGAAATATAAGATTGACCATATAAGGAAACAAATAAGAGGGTTTTTTTTAAGTGCCAGGCTGTATTTATTAGTTAATCTCATCAACTTCAGATTTCTTAAATCATAGCTACTAGGGCTCAGTACTGTCGGACCTAGCAGTTCAAATTTTTGATCTGTGAGTGTGTAGAAGTGGATTATTTTATTTATTTTTAAATAGATGTGGGAAGCAAATAGTAATCTGGCTGCTACTTTGCAATTGGTAACATTTTGCATGGGCTCTAGCATGCTCTGCTCTATACTTAAGAGACTTTTCAATCCTAACATGGGCTTTGGCATAAAAAACAAAACAAAATTGGTCTGTATATTGAATCCTAGTGAAAGGAAGCCTCAGGTAACTTCCATAGGGCAGAAAGAAATGCTGACTTCAGCTGTATGGAGGGAAAATTAACTACAAAGAATTTTCTTCTTAATTTCTTAGGTCAGATCTTCAACGTCCACCCACATCCATGTTGTCCTGCAGTAATGGGAAGGGGGCTGCAGGGTTGCCTGCTCCATGAATGAAACTATTCTTTAGAATAGAAGTTGAAGTAATTTCTAACTAAAAGTGGAATTCTGTATGTGGAATGTACTAAGAAAAACTGAAGATGGAGGCATCGGTGAATCCCCACCCTTCTTTATAAAAAACTTCAGGCCAAACTTTATGCCATCACTAATTACAGGAAAGTATCATGTCAGGGAGAAATCAAGGACAGAATACCCCATCAGCTAGTTTTCTTTTTGAAGGGAGGAACATTCAATCATATTGGAAACAATGCACTCCAGATGGACATTTTCATATTTGTGAAACATAATGCACATATTAATAAAACCACAAGTGTAAGTTGTGATGAAATGTCATGATGATTAAACCTAGCTAATTCTCAAATGCTGGAAAATCCACTATATCCAATAAACTTCTAAAATCCAATCTGTCATGCTTTGAACTTCAATGAAAGTTCAAATAAAAGTGTTTAAAACTAAATGTCTCATCAGTAATAACTCATAAACTTCTCCCTCAAGATTTAAGACCACATAACAATGTTTTAAAACAGTTCTCAATGGCAAAATTTGCTTTTACGTTGTTTTTTTTTAATTATTATGAGGAAGAAGCTTTTGATTTTCCCAAAGTTGTGATAGATACAGGATCTGAAAAACTGACTGATAACAATGGAAAGATTGGGGGCGGGATTTAGCTATGGCAGTTATGGAAAACTTTCTACTTGGAAAATTTGCTACAGAATTTATGTAGAGAATTGTATTATTGCTATTATAATAGAGGAAAGAGGAGTGATTGGATATGTTCACAAGACCTGCTAAGCTAAATCAGTTGCTACCTAATGTGTGCATGTCACATACTCCATTTTAGACAACGTTTGTGATTTGTAGTATATTTAAAATCTGAAACAGCTGTCACTTTATTTTTTTGGAAGTGGGACTTGTAATCATCCTTAGTTAAAAGTCTCTATTTCTCAAAATCTCAAAACTCATGTTCAAACTAGAGTTAAAGTGAATTCTGTTGCCAATATCACTGATGCACATATACTCCTCTTGTAATCTAATGTCAACATCCTTGACCTGTAACAGAAAAATACTGTGACTAGAAATGATAGGCAGAAGTTGATATGATCTGCTTCTATCATAAAGACTAAAAGACTAATATTGAATATACTATAGCCTATATGAAATAACAGAAAAACAGCATTCTCGTCCTGGTGGTGTCCAGATGGTTGGGAATTTTGCAACTTGGGAACTCAACACATCTGATTGCCACCAGATTTGGAAAGGCTGCACTGAAGAGAAAGAGTGCCTCTAAGCACCAGATGTGGTAATGATAGTAACCTGCCAGCACAAAACCTTGGTATGCAAGAAACATAAGGCTTCCTGTTGAGAGGGTAGTGATTTGCAACAGATTTCTGTATATCAGACTTGCATCTCCTCTCAGGGAGTGTTTGTGTATGTGTGGTTGAAACTTGGACCTTGAGAAGAGCAGAGGGTGTTGCCTGCAAAGTGTTATCAACTGTGTCTCTCCAAGGGCAGATGTGGGTACAAGCAGGCTGCATCTACCATGAATTCAGAAGAACTGTCACAGGAAGTGCCTCTTGCAAATGTGCAACTAACTAGGAAGGGATGATAGAAAGGAGTTGCCATCCTTTCTTAGTGTTATGTCTGTTCCTCATGAGAAATGTTGAGACTTGGAAAAAATTCAGAGAAGAGCAACTAAGATGATCGAAGGCCTGGAGACTAAAACTTATGAAAAACGGCTGCAGGAATTGGGTTTGGCTAGTCTAAACAAAAGAAGAAATAGGAGAGACATGATAGCAGTATTCAAGTATTTGAGGGGCTGCCACAAAGTAGAGGGAATCAAATTCTCCAAAGCACCAGACGGCAGGACAAGAAACAATGGTTGGAAACTGATCAAACCTGGAATTAAGGAGAAACTTCCTGATAGTGAGGACAATTAACCAATGGAACAGCTTGCCTTCAGAAATTGTGAGTGCTCCATCACTGGAGATTTTTTAGAAGAGGCTAGTGAGTCCCTTGTCTGAAATGGTATAGGTTCTTCTGCTTGAGCAGAAGTCTGGACTAGAACAGAGTTCTCCAATCTGTGGGCTGCGGCCTGGTACTGGGCCACGGCCTGTTGGCCACCAGGCCATGGGAATGGCTGGCAAGTGTGCACACATGTGCATGCACTCACCCCACTTGCTCTAGCACATCTGCGCACACACACATTTCCCTGCTCCTCCCTTTCCCTCCAGGCTGCCAACCCAGAAAGGTTGGGGAGCTCTGGACTAGAAGACATCCAAGGTCCCTTCCAGCTCTATTCTATTCATCAGTCCAGCAAAGCCAGATCTTTCAGATTCCTGCATTAGAAACAGCAAAAGCTTTTTCAAAACCTTCTGGCAACAGATTGATCAGGATCCATGAAGCATGCTGCTGCTGCTGCTGCTATTGCTACTACATCCATACAAAACTTCTCACCCACAACCTAATTTCAAAGCTATGTGTGGAAACACTGTAGAGTCTCAGATGTCAACTGGATCTCCACTTTTCCCCGGTTTCCTAACTCTGCCCCAGCCTAA